GGGTCATTTCACTGGGTACCCATAACTTCCAAGCGAAATCTTCGTTGAGGGGAATACCATCATAGAACTGAGTTCGCTTATATACAAAACCCTCAACCACTTTTAAATGAGGAAGTTGTGAAGAATTGCTTTCAATCGTATCTATCAAGGTTAAGTATTCATCTGATTTAAAAGCTGGTGAATCAAGGTCGATTAACGACTTAACGTCCAGAGAAATCTCCTCCATATCATATCTAGATAGCGTATCGGGTACTACATTTTGTGTGCCTTTACGGTGTTCTATCTCAAAAGAATATCCCTGCAAGTGCAAACTCCATCTGGCTAACCTTCCGCAAAGATCCCTATGTGACATGAGCCATTTTAGACTACTGTGGTCAGTTATTACTGTAAAGGGCATTAACTCTATATATGGCCTAAACTTTTTAATGGCCATCACCACTGCCAAACATTCCCTCTCAGTAACAGAATAATTCCTCTGAGCAGAAGTTAACTTTTGCGAGAAATACGCTATCGGATGTTCACCCTCGTCATCTCTTTGAAACAATACCGCTCCTATTCCTAAGTCTGACGCATCGCACTGCACGTAGAATCTTTTGGTAAAGTCCGGGTGTGTAAGCACGGGACTGCTTATAAGAGCCTGCTTCAACTTATCAAATGCTACCCTGGCCTCTTCCGTGAAACTGAATCTTTTTCCTTTTTGAGGGTCTCGAAGATGGGAGCCGCAATGGTGGCAAAGTCGGCTATAAACCTCCTATACCACCCTGCGGTACCCATAAAACTTCTCACCTGTTTTATGGTTTTCGGATATGCAAATTTTACTATAGTTTCCACCTTCGCCGGATCAGTTTTCAGTTTGCCACCGCCAACAATGTATCCCAAATATTTAAGCTCTTTGAAGCAGAATTTCGACTTGGATACGTTGATGGTGAGCCCTGCTTTCGCCAAACAATCGGCTACTTGCTCTAACAACCGTAGGTGGGTATCAAAGTCGGGCGAAACTACCAACAGATCATCCAGGTAGACAAAAACTCTATCACGGATTGCGCTGGGGATCACTTTATCCATTAAACGGCATAACCTTTGGGCCGCATTACACAGACCGAAAGGCATGACCGTAAAATGATAAAGTGGTCTTCCGGGCACTGTGAACGCAGTTTTCTCTCTACTAGACGGGTCCAGGGGTATTTGCCAAAACGCATCCTTGAGGTCGACACTGGAGATAAAATATGTGTCTCCCAACCGACTGAGCAAACCCTCTATATGCGGCAATGGATAGGCATCCTTGACCGTAAGTGCATTAAGTTTACGAGCATCCAAACATAACCGATTTTTCTCACCCCTTCGGACTAACGTAACGGGGTGACTCCATGGACTTTCGCTCTCCTCAATTCCCCCCAGGTCAAGCATCCTATCCAATTCCGCGTACATGAGCTTTTGCACAGCCGGGGACACCGGATAATGTCGATCCTTCACCGGAGTTGCATCGCCAGTATCGATTGAGTGGACCTCAGCATTCGTTTTTCCCAAACCATACTTGGCAAAGCATGGAAATTTATCCTTCACACTTTGCAAACGCGAACGTTGCTCATCGGACAATATATGGGTTTTCACATCACTGATCTCATCGGCTTCGTCACAGAGGCTCACCTGATGGAGGGACAACCCGTCAATCTGAGCAAAGAGGTGAAAACTACGCATAAAATCGACTCCTAGAAAAAGTTCACGACTCAGAGAAGGCACTAGATAGAAAATGATAGGTTTCTGCTGCTTATTGAAATTGACCATTGTAGCCACTTTTCCAACGATTCGATGTGGACTACCATCAGCTGTCTTTATAAAAGAATGAAAATGGATTACATCCAATCCTGCTTTTCCTACAAAACTAAGGCAGTTCTTCCCCAAACAAGACACCGTAGCACCACTATCCAACAAACCTTCCAACTCCTGTCCGTTGATCGTAAGCTTTGTATATAGGCGAGTATCATCTCCCTCATACAATGTAGCCGATGCAATTTCTTTCCTAACTCTTTTTCTTCTCTTAAAGCGTTCTCTAGCTTTCCTCACTTTATTAGAAACCTCTCCAAAAATTCGTTCTTTAGCCTCATTATATTCCTTAATTCTAACATGGAGTGGTTTAATCTCCCTCAAATTCTTTACTGCTTCTGATTTCAATTTCTCTAAATTCATGTTCTTCAATACCACTATCTTATCACTAAAACTATAACTATTTAATTTCTCTGGGGCTATACCGGGGTTGACCTCACCTGCCCCGTTGGAGGTGGGCCCCGATACTTGTTTCCCTGACATTTAGGACAATCTAAAACTGTTACATTCTCCTGTCCACATTTGTAGCAAAACAACTTGCGCTTCTCCCTACAATCTATCCAGCTGTGTCCCCACACTCCGCAATTCCAACACTTATATTTCGCCGGTGTACTAATCGCATCTACTTCCATCTCTTCTGGTATGACTTCTTCTTGCTGCCAATCAAGCTCATGTAGCCTCTGAGGAACGTTATGTCGCTGCTGATGTTGCCTCTGGCTCCATATCAAGTTTTCTGCCCTCTTAACTTGGCGATAAAACTCTCCTAGACTTCTTATCTGGGCTGAGAAAATCATTTGGGCTAAAGATGGCTTCAAGTTACCCCGCATTATCTCCACCATGTCGTGCTCTTGATAAGGCGTTTTCTGCTGGGTCCGAAGCTTCAGCACGGAATTATAAAAATCGTCGAACGTCTCATGAGGTAGTTGCCGTCTGTTCAAAATTTTCATTTGTATTTGGAACTCATTCTCATACTGCTGGTACTGGTTCAAAAGCGCAGTCTCAAGCTCGCCCCACGAACGAAAATTGACAAATTTCCTTTGGTTCCAATACCAATCCAAGGCTGGCTTGTCTAGAAGCTGGTGGAACTTCGTCAAGAATTCGTCTTCCGGGCAATTGAAATCCCTCTTCAACTGTCCAACACGAAATATAAATTCTTGGACATTCACTGTCTTCTCGGTGCCATCGAAACGGATACCCCACTTGTCCAAATTTAACCGTCCGCTGGACTCAGAGTAAAAACTGGCTGGAGGACGAAAACCATATGGATTGCCTCCTTCGGGCGGAAACTCCATGTTGCTAAAAAGTGGTGGTCTATATGCGGCAAATGCATGGGGTCCACACTGTGGTCCTTGTACTGGTGGTGGTACCGACAAATTAGGTTGTGGTGGTGGTTGTGTTACTTGACCAGCTGCTAAGGCACTGGGAATGGATGCTTGGCTGGGTATCTGCCCTTGGGCATAATTTGGTGCTGTATAACCTGCTGGAGGTGGCCGATATGACGGTATGGCATTAGGAACTCCCAGTAGACTCCGTACTTCCTCGCGCATTTCGCGCCGCGCTAATCCGACTGCAGTGTTAATAATTTCTAGCACTCCGGTACTGACTGCTGGCTGACCCGTAGGCACACCGGGTGCCAAAGATGGCTGTTGCAATCCAGTCAACACGCTGTAATTCGGGGAATGGACACTTCCATGTGACCAGAACGACGTGTTGAAAGAATTTGCGGCGTCTTGCAAAACCGACGGTATTGGAGGTGCTGTAGAAGAACTGGTAGGCATCGGTCCAGGCGTTGTAGTCGACACCGTATGCGTCGTTATGGGAACACTTCGGGTATAAGTGGTAACAGAAACAGTAGGAGCGGTCGTGACAACCGCACTGGCGACTACACTATTCTGACCTAAAATTGGCCTGCCAGTTGAGTCCCTATTTGTAGACCTAGTGCTGGGCATATTCCACTCTGTTGTTTCCTAACCTCTTATAAAACAAAATTCTTCCAAACTAAAAGAAAAATTGAACTTTTGCCAAAAACTTCACTCAAATGAAAAACAATTCAAGGTATTTCTATGGAATTCAGGCAATACCTTGAGGTTGAAAAAAAATATTTATAGAACTTTACGTACCAGTTTCAAATTTAATACTCTTAATTTCCTATTCCATAAAATTTAATTCGATTTAATTTTTAACACACTTTTTCACATTCACAGGGCCTTTGAAAATTGATACGGCGTATCAACCCTTCAAGCCGAAATTGACTGAAAAAAATAAATAAATGCTCAAGATAGGTGGTGGGATACAAGGTAAACTTAAAGGTAAGTGAAGGTCAAATATACTGTTTCTAAAGGAATACCAATTTTAAACTGTTTTAAAATATTTTCTACAGGGTTTCGGTGAGTTCTACTGGAAAAAAACTGAGGAATTTAACTGGAATATGGAATAGGCGGCTTTCCCCAGACCTTACTACGAAATTCCATGACAATACGGCCCCTGGTCAAAAACCAAGATTGTCGCAGACCAAAGGAAAACTCCGGTATGTCTGCGGTCCGCTACCTAATTCCGGGTACTGGAATTGTATAAAAAAAAGGAAATACTACTAACCTAAACCTACAAATTCGATTGAGACTAACAATTCACATTCGTGTAGCAGCGCGTCACCTGCCATTTTATAGGCTGCTTGAACGGGTCTCCACAAATGAGAACTGTTCGTCCAGACGAATTTGTTATTTGAAATTTTAACTGTAGATAAATATGAAACAAAATTAGTAATACTAGTGCGATTAGACGTAAATGCAAATTAGCACGACTAAGCCACTAGAAAGGAACAAGTTTCATATTTGTTTTTGCAAAATAAATGATGTCTTCTTGCGTCTTCGATGAAGCATCGCGCCAGGGACTCTTAATGTAACCTAAACGGGTCTCATCGAAGATATACGGAAAACACATTTATACACTATCACTAACAACTATTACAAACTAACGACATGTTTCAGGCCCCACGTTCTGGGCGCCATTTTGTAACAACCGTATTCCAAGAAAATGAACGAAAAATCGCTGTGGTGATCCTTAAGTGGCGTTGCCGGTATGCTGGCGTTTAGCGCGGCTATGGCTCGTCGGATTGGGGGTTGGTTCTTGCCACTTGTAGACCTTTTCGGTTGAACAAACAAAAAATCATACCGGACTTCACACAAAATCTAAAAGGGGGATAAAAGGAAGCCTGAAACATGTCTATAAAAAAAAGAAAAAGAAACCGTTCACCTAAACTACAACCCAAATCCCAAACTTACTTTACTTTATCACCACAGAAAACAGTGCTCCTGGCGGCTGACCAACCAGGAGATATCCCTCCCTCCGAGAACACCTCTCGCCATGACGTCTACTTATCCCTGACGTCCCAGATTTGACCCTTAACTTACCACATTTTATCCCATGGCCACCACCTTTTTAATAGGGCTTTAAGCCGAAAACATATTTATCTTTTCTATAAAAAATTTGTACATTTTATTCAGCCAATTTTGCTCTTCAAAGATATGAACAATTCAACAAGGCTTTTATATGTTATAAAAAAAACATAATGACAAAAAAATCGAAGATATAAATTTACAGCGCCAAAATTATTTTAAAATATCATATTTGCTCCTTTCTCCTTTCAGGTTGCGATGGCGGTCGACAAAAAGTATGGAACAGTAAAGGCTGCTAATGTTTGAGGTTCTTCCCAATTGGTAAGTACGAACGTATTGTTAATGTCTAGCTTTTTTAATTATATTCCACGTTCAATTTTTTTTTTATGTTTCTTTTTTTTTTTCAATTTTAGGGAAGGACAAACAAAGGAGTGGTGTCGACAACCAAAAAAATCGACGAGCGAAATAAAATGCCTGGTTACCTAACCTTGAATAGAGCTCTTTTCAACGTCGTGAACCTGCACCTCAATCAAAATGTGAGTAAAATTTAAATTTAAATTCATTTGTTTACCCCTTCTAATTTCTATCTTTCTTTCACAGGAAAACGGCGGAATTTAATTATTTAGCTTCGTCGTCCGTCTGTCTGTCCGGAGTTCAGTGTGACAAATGTCGATTGGGAATGATACCAGGCCACGCTGGAGCAGCAATGGCGTAAAATCTGCGCCTCCCTCGATGGATTGGACGGGCGATGGTGTGGCTCGTTGACTCCAGTTTCCTGGTCTGGATATTTAGGTTTAAGATTTATTTTTTTTAGTTTTAGAATTTCAATTGTTTTGTTTTCAAATTTGTTTAATTGTTTCCAAACTTTGTTCAATTTTTTTCCAAATTTTGTTTAAATTTTAAAATAAGTTTAATTTTTTTATTTTCATGAAATTATTTGTTTTAGTTATAAGTTTTTAACTTTTAAACTTTTAGCCTTTTCTTGATAAATTTTGTTTAATCGTTTTAAGGCTTTCAATTTTGTGTAGAAAAAGTTTGTATTTTGTGTTGTTTGTTTATAAGTTTCAAACAAATAAAAAAATTGAATTCACTCTTCAACAAGTGGTTCACCACAAAAACTTCTGTTGGTTTTTCCTTTGCTGGTTACGGGGAGCCACACGTCCAATCTTCTTCGCTGGTAAAATTAAAAAGGAAAGAATTTCCTTACAATTTCTGTCAGGAAATTCTGGCTGCCATTTTCCTCGTTTAATTTGTCCATTTTCTTTTTAAATTATTCCCCCTTATTGACATTTAAGTCATTGGAATAAACAGCTGTTCCCTAATAATGGTTGACAACATTCTTCTTCTTCTTCTTCTGGCTATCAATTATTTTCATGGTTACCCCTTTTTAAGGCGCACACCACAAGTTTTCATTTCACATTTTCATAGAACAAGAATTGAGGCCCAGGACAACAATATTAAAAAAAATATGTTTTTATACGTCGATAGAAAAATGAACACAAAATAAAAAACGATTTCATGTTATTAATGTAATATTTTTCTTTTGCATTCACTCTCGAATTGACATACAGAAACAAATCCTAAATGAAAATTTCACAATTTGTTCGGGGATTTTCATAGAACATAGAAACTATCTCCATAAATTTAGCATTAACTATCTCCATAAATTTAGCATCACTTGGTCCCAACATTCTTTTTTATAATACAATTCTGCACCCTAAATAAATCAACCTTTCTAGAATCTAGAAAGGTTTTGGCGTCACGAGCATTGATATTGGCGGCAACATTGGCATAATTTCACATTTATTTCACACTATTATAAACTTACTTGTTTTCTAATTAACAATGACGTAGTTATGGCCGGGAAGTGAATTTTCAAACATAAGATCAATGTATGATGACGATGACGTTGTTCATGCCGCGTTCATTTGAATTAAGTTCTTTAAGTTGGGGAGGGGACAATCACAAATTTCATTGGCATATAGGTAGGTAGGTATTTTTTTGTATTCACATAAATGATCATCAAACTCATCAAGGCTTGACACAATTTAAAATTTATTATAATTCTCGTTTTGGTTTTATTTGGTATTGTTTACTTGTTTTTTATTTACTTTTTAAAGCTTTTGTTGTTTTTGTTTTTTTTTTTAATAAAATAAATTAATTCTTTTTTTCGGCGTAGAACTGCACACGTTGCGTTTAACTTTTTTTGTAGCAGCAGACAGTCTCACTCAGCACAAGAAAACTAGCATCTTATCGACAAGAGATTCAGAAACGTTTTAAATGTCCGACTTGATTGCGAATTTAATATAACTTCTTTCGGTTCGTTGTAGTGCGGAGTGATTCTGACTTGGAGAGTAAAAAAGTGTGGGGAGATCCCTGACTATGTGGTCGCCGCCGTTGTCGTTTAGTTGTATTTAGCTAATCTATGAGACAGATCTTTCCACTGGAACTAGAGTTGAGAACACACAATACGATCATGTATTCTATCAATTTGGTTTAGTAATGATTTATTTCTGTTCTTTTGTCTACCATTGTTAGCCGGTAGCAGGTATTAACAAAAACAACAAGAAAAACAAAGCAACATATAAAGATTTTACTCTCTTACGTTTTTGGTGAGAAAATATTTTCGTGAGCGAATAGAAAATAAAGGTATTTCTCCGTTGTTTTGTTATGATTACAAATAACAATTGTTATTGTATTTTGTTTTATTCTATTCGAAAACAAATAAATAATAATCCACATTGCCAGTAACAAAAACAGCAAAGAGCAAGCAGTCGGCGAGATTCTCACAGCCGGCCATCTTTAAATAATTTTTGCACTCTGCACACTCTCTCGTCATGTATTTATTTTGTTTGTCATTTACATTGAGAAGTGCACGGTAATTTGAAGTACAAAAAAAAAACCATAATATAATGTTGTGCTACTGCAAAACAAAAAAACGTAAAGTCACAGTGGGTTTGGATATCTAAAATATATAGAGTGTCAACAATGAAAAAAATTGGAATTATGACCATTAAGGAGAGGGAATGAAAAAGACGTTCGCGTCCGACTACATGATAGCCTACGCCATTATGCATATTAAGCAGATTTACCCGTAACAAATATATGTGTAAGTTAGGGATCAATTCGGATGAAACATATATGGGAGGCATACCTATAGTAATTTTTTAATTATCATTTTGGCAACAATGGTTTAAGCAGCAAACGCACGCTTTGTGTTTTGTTTAACAGTTCAACATTTTCACTTTAATCGTCTTACATTGTCAAAATACGTGCTATTTTAATAAAGTTCTTTGGTGAGAGGTGAATTCTGTGAAAATTGTTTTCACGTTCCGTTTATGTGATCAAATTTTTTTTATCAATGTTTCATGACACACTGAAAGTTAAGTGGAAAAGATTGTTTACTAATATTGCACACGTTAACTTTTTTCTGGGTATTCCGAGATATACTACATCTTTATAAAATTTTAACCACTATTAAGCCCATAAAAACAAATTATAGGGATTCTCGAAATAGCAATATTTATGTGTATTTTTAATTCTGAACCAAAAAATTGATATCTAGACCTAACTTTTTTCGGCTTGAGATCTCACATTTTCGGGTTTCCCACCTTCGTCTGTGTCCAAAGTCCATAACTTCAGAGATCGATTAAAGTACATACGGTTAACATTTGTATCAATCTTGATGTTTATCTTTTTTTGGGTCTCTTTCTCTTGGCTTTTCATGCAACTTCTGGTATTTTCACCCAAATTTGGGAACGGTATTATCACTCGACTTTTAGCATTCAATTGGCGCATCGCAAGACAACATTGTTTTAAAGGGTTTGCCAAAATGTCCATGTACCAAAAAAGATTCGAAACCATATCACCTGTACCGATGATTGAACAGCATCTTTGGTATCTAACATTTTGCTGGCTACTTAAGACCTTAAATCGCATGCTGTGTGACTTTATCAAATTGGTTTTGGCTGTACTAATATTAGAATTTTGCGCAATCCGGTGTTCTGCCGATTGGAAAATGAGATTAGAATTTTATAAAATAGGTTCTTATAAAAACAAGATTTACAAGTGGAAATTCGAACTTCGATTCGGGGGAAATTGTGATTGAAACCTTAAATAAAATAAATATGTTGCTTAATCTCCAATCTGTTGAATTTAAATTTCTATTTGCTGTTATTTTCGTAATCGACGAAAAATGTTCGTCAGGATAAAGACCAAAATAAAGAAATTATCAAGGCCTTTCGATAGATTCAAAATTTTGTCGTAATATATTGCCCTACTGGTGAAATGATATTGTAATTACATTTCAGAATTAGTCATGATATAATAATATCTCATATTTTCTTAAATATTTTTAAAAAATGCGATTAAAGCAACGAATTAATTCTTTCCCCTAAGAATACGAAAAATTTTAACTGAAATTTTTTTTTCGTGATTCTATGGGCATCCATAACTTATTATATAATTTAAAAACATATAATTTTTTTTCCACTGTGCAAAAGTGAACGCCTTCAAGCTCTGATAGACAAGTACTCAATATGTTATTTTATGTCACCGTCTGAATGCGCAACAAACAACAAAAGAAAACCCCAATAAAATGCTTAAAAACTGATTGTGATGTTTTGTTGAAAGAATAAAAAAAATATATACAAGAACAAAAATCTAATGACGACAAAAACAGCTAACGAAATACAACTTGTCGTATTTCAATGAATGTGTCATATGTTTCAAAGTCTTATCGAAAATATTGTGGAATTCTATTTCTTTGTATACCTTCCATGATGGATTGGAGTGTATTAGGTTTGTCTCCACGTTTGGTATCGCTTCGAATAGTTGGTTCAAATCAAATATAGGTTTTATTTTTGGAGAGCTGTACTAAGTTGGATTTTTTTCACACATCAAATTAAGGGAATGCTTCTTGAAATAACACATTTGAGGAAAAACAAATTAAAAAGCAGTAAGTTCGGCCCGGCCGAATACCCTCCACCATTTACAACGAATTTGGAAATTTTCAAAAAAATAAAATCCTTAAAAAATTCTGTTAAAATTTAAAAAATACCGAATATAGCCGTAGTCGTCAAAATACCGAATACAGGGAGGTACTGATATATGGGGCCTATACGAAGACATGGACCCGCACAGACAATTTTCTGTCACAGACTGTAGTTCCCATAACGAACTTCAAATACCAATATTGAAACAATTCCGGTGAATAATGTCGCTAAAATCATCAAAATACCGAATATAGGAAGGTACCGTTATATGGGGGCTATACGAAGACGTGGACCTGCACAGACAATTTTCTGTCTTAGGATGTAGTATCCATTTTGAACTTTAAATACCAAATTTGAAACAATTCCAGTGAATAATGTCGCTAAAATCATCAAAATACCGAATATCGGGAGGTACCATTATATGGGGGCTATACGAAGACATGGACTTGCACAGACAATTTTCTATCTTAGACTGTAGTATTCATTACGAATTTCAAATACCAATTTTGAAAAAATTCCGGTGAATAATGTCGCTAAAATCATCAAATTACCGAATATAGGGAGGTACCGTTATATGGGGGCTATACGAAGACGTGGACCTGCACAAACAATTTTCTGTCTTAGGGGGAAGTATCCATTTGGAACTTCAAATACCAAATTTGAAACAATTCCGGTTAATAATGTCGCTAAAACCATCAAAATACCGAATATAGGGAGGTACCGTTATATGGGGGCTATATGAAAACGTGGACCTACATGGCCCCTTTACGAACTTAACCTGCCTACTGGAAAAATAAACATGTGTGCAAAATTTTAGCCATCTATCTCAATTCATTCGAAAGATAGCATGATTACAACAGACAGACAGACAGACGGACATCGCTAAATCGACTTAGAATTTCAAGATCAAGAATATATATACTTTGTTGGGTCTGACATGAGTATTTCGAGGAGTTACAAACGGAATGACAAAGTTAATATACCCTCCATAGTATGGTGGAGGGTAGAAAAACTGGTCGCATGATGGAACCTTCCGCAATAGCGATAATTGTAGATTTAAGAGGGCTAAAGTGTTTCGACCTGGTCGACTTATTGCTGTATAACAAGCATATTGTTCAACTAGTAATAAATAATGAGAAATTGTGGCATATCAATACAGAATAAAGGGGAAGCAATAATTGTTATTAGCGGCGGCTGCCTATGTCATTAAATCGTTGTAATACTAATTTATTCCACTGGATTACGTCATGGTTTGCTATTATGTATTGAAACCCATTTCAATACGTAATGTATTAAAAAAATGTAAGATCAAAAATAATTGTTAATAAATAAAAAATAATTGTTAATAAATAATTGTTAATAAATAATTTGAAAATAAAAGTTTGTAATTGTTTTATTCATAGAAATGATAGATTATTTATCATCACTTTTCTATATTTAAGTTATCCGATACATGGACTTCTTTGTTTCAATTGAAGAAAATTATCCATTCCAAGAAGAAACCACATTGTTTTTGCTATATTTTGTGACACATTCATGTCTTTGTAGTATCAATTTAGAAAAAAAGCACAAACTGTGAAAATAAAAAAATAGGGTAAATTCCTTAATATCGAATAAAACAAACTTTTGCAGTAATAAAAAATGAAGTAGATATAAAAAAGTGTTAAGATAGGGCATTTCCCTTTTTTCGGTGGATATGTCAATGGTGTAATGTAGATTATATAAAATGCTGAGAAAAGGTGACTATATTTATTTGGTGAATTAAAATTCATATATATATATATATATACAGGGTGAGATGAAAAAACTGCAACCAACTTCAGACTTTTATCATTTCTAAGCCACTCGTCCGACAGCTATTAAAATAATTTCAGTAACAGCTCATTATATTGCTTACAAGCGTAATATAGCTTTTTGGTGAGAATTTTCCAGAAAAAGCATTTAAATGTGATACTAGTAGCGTAGCCCGACGTCAAGGCGACTTGATCGAAACCAGCGTCGCAGTGGCCGAAAAATGGCTCGTGAGCTCAACATATCCCAATATTCCATTCGGCAAATATTAAACCAGTAAAGAGAGTCTTTATGATACTCTACACCACTTTGCTAATTTAGTAGAGCTCCACATAACAATTAAAAGTTTTTATGGGAGAATTCAATCATACACGCTATGATTATAATTATAATTTAAAGTTCAAAGGACTAAATATGGCGAAGCATTTGTATCTTTTAAATTCGGACTTGTATTGCCCATTTGGTGCACAATTAATTTGAAATCGGATAAAGATATATATGGGAGCTATATCCAAATCTGAACCGATCTCGATAACATTTGGCAAAGATATTTCTGAGCTGTATTTGATATATTTCCCTGAATATCGTTGTTACGGAGTGCATATTACGGTTGTGGGTAACAAATATAACAAATCGGACGAAGTTATATATGGGAGCTATAGCTATATCTGAACCGATTTCGATCAAATTTGGCATACATATTTTCAGG